TATGGTCCCTTGTGGGGTACCCTAATTAATAGGTGCCGTATTATAATAAGGACCCAAAAAGGGACCACAGTTTTGACAACCACCCCTAACCCTAAACCCTAAACCCTAAACCCTAAACCCTAAACCCTAAACCCTAAACCCTAAACCCTAAACCCTAAACCCTAAACCCATATAAAGGCGAGAGACTCAACGCTCGAAGTCTCGGGGTGTAATATAGGGGCCTTAATCATTAGAATAGGGGTTTCTTTAGAGGGTTACTATAAGGGTTCTTTTAAAGGGTTCTATAAGGGATTTACAGTAGGGTTCTATATAGGGCCTGAATGATTAGAATAGGGCTCCTTTAGAGGGTTACTATAAGGGCTATTGTAAGGGATTTATAGTAGGGTTGTTTTTAGGGGCCGTTGTGATTAGAATAGGGTCTTTGTGGTATATTATACTACAAATATAATGAGGATAGGGTTCAGGGCGTTTGGGTTTAGAGGAGTGTGGCTTAGGAACTAGGGTTTTGGGTTTTTTTGTGTTTGAGGCGTTTGGTCTAGTGTTTGGGGTTCTAGGGTTTTGGAATTAGGGCCTGAGGTTTTAGGGTTTAGGGTTTGGGGCTCGGGGTTTTGAGGCATACCTTATCTATATCAGCATTTCGAGCATGCTCACCTTGATCATGAGCTCTTGATAGGCTTGCTATGATTACTGTCACTACTTTGGCATATTTCTTTATATGATTCCTTCTGCGTCGTGCAAAGTACGGGGCTTCTATATGAGGGATTCCGATCTCTTTCGGTCTTCAGGACTTTCTCATAGTCTACAGCTTCTGCAAACACAGTTGCAAGTGCCCTTATTGGGGTTGCTGTGCATTTTATATCCTGCTTACAACCTGCTTAGCTGCTTGCTAAGTCCCTCTGATCCGCTAAACCCTAAACCCTAAGCCCTAAACCGTGGATGTTTTCGGTGGGTTCTATGCCGGCTGGCTTGTGAAGGCTACGAAGTGGAGGATGAAACGAGTATGCGCGCAGGCTTCAGATGGATGCCATGCATGCCATGATAGGGTTTAGGGTTCGGGGTTTAGAGTTTAGGGTTTAGGGTTTAGGACCCTAAACCCTAAACCCAAAAGATTTTGTTTACGACTTGAGTGTTTGGGTTTCGAACTCACGGCCTCTCTTATGGTGTCCTGGCAGCCGGCAGGTGGCTGCGCTGCAGTGATGCTTGCGGCTGATGTCTTCCGGCTGCTTCAGTCCTCTCAACCCAGAGCAGCTTTGACAGGGTTATAAGTTCGCACCTGCAGTCTGCCACCAGGCTGGGGTCATTAGGCTGAGGCACAGCAAGGCGTCCAGATGCCGAATGTGGCGATGCTGCCTGAAGATTTGGGCTCAAAAAGCAGCTTCTATCGTCCCCTCATCTCCTGCAGCCTCGAGGATGCGCTGCTGGACGTTCCTGGTGGTGCTCCAGATTCTCAACGGCTCCTGCGCCTATGCAGCAGAGAGCTGTGAGACCGATGAGCTAGCGGCTGTTCAGGTGCTCCGTCGCAGCGAAGATGCAAGACCCCGAAGGCTTATTCGCAAGTTCAAGCGTGCCATCTATGAGTGGAGCAAGAAGAAGAAGTACTACTACAAGACCACCACGCCTGCTCCGCCTCCGCCGCCTCCACCGTCTCCTCCCCCATGTCCAGGCGTTGGGAAGGGTTGCTGCACCTTCAACCGCATCGGATTCTTTCAGGCTTGTCAGCAGCTCAATGCGACGTGCGACAACACGACAGAGACGTTCGAAGTTGATTCAGTGGATGTGACGGAGGACTTGAAGACGGCGGTCTACACTAGCAGCAAAGCAAACTCGGGCATCTACACGGTAGGCTTCGTGGACATTACCG